GGGGAGGGGGGGGGGGGGGGGGAGGGAGGAAGAGAGAGAGACACACACGAAGACAGATAAACAGACGAATAATTTGATCTCTCCGGGGGGGTGCTAATGCCTCATCTATTTACACAATGTGTTAGTCCCTGTGGATCAACATTAAGGAAAGCATACTGCCCTCATGGAGTTCCCAATCTCGCCAGGAAGAAATGACAAAGTTTGATACCCAAAGGCGCCCTCTGCTGGGGGCTAAATCTGAGTTTTGATCTCGCGAGTCTCCAGGAGGGCGCAGAGGGCGCATGCTCGAAGGCTGTGCCCTCAGCTGATTGGTTGGAGGGATGCCTGGCCCTCAGCCAATGAAGCTCGGGCTCGGCCAAAGCCGAGAGCTGCCGTTGAAGGGGTAACCGCCATGCTGAGACGCGATGGCTGGGGCTGCGGGCCGCTTCCGAGGCCGTGGCCTGGGGCGATTCTCTCTGGCCCTAACTGTGGGCGATGTGAGTATCTGTGAGGGTAGAAACGAGACCCTTTCCCATCCATACTTAGGTGTCCTCCTCGCCCCTGGGGAGAAGAAGAAGAAGAATAGTATTTATCGAGCCTTCGCCATCGGCCGGGTACTGGACTCAAGGCCTCAGCTTCCCTAGCTTTGGGGCCTCGGACTCCTCCAGCCGGGAGGTGGGTACTTAACGCGATTTCAGAGGGAGCGCAGGTTGCCTAAAGTCACATGGGAGTTCATATAAGAGGCTGAATTCAAATCCAGGTGCTCTTATTCCTCTAATACTATTCTCTCCGTGCCCCACTTTGGAAACCGGGTTCTTCCTTAGCAGAAGCCGCACAATGAGCAAGAATATTGGGGGTGGACGGAGGAGTCTAGATCCCTGATGCTTATATGTAAAGTGTTTTGTTTTTTGAGTCGGAGCCTCCCTCCGTCGCCCAGGCTGGAGGACAGTGGCACGCTCCCGGCCACCGCAGCCTCGACCTGCTGGGCTCAGGCGATCCTTTCGCCTCAGTCTCCTGAGTAGCTGGAACCACAGACATGCGCCACCACACCCGGCTGATTTTTTTTTTTTTTTTATTGTAGAGGCAAGGTCTCGCCAAGTTGCCCATCCTCTTACCTCTGCCTCCCAAGTGCTGGTATTACAGGTATGAGCCAGCGCCCCGGCTGTAAGGTTTTTTGTTTTGTTTGTTTGTTTTTGAGTCAGAATCTCACTCTGTCACCCAGGCTGGAGTGCAGTGACACACTTATGGCTACCCCAGCATCGACTTGCTGGGCTCAGGCAATCATTCCAAGTAACTGGAACTACAGGTGCACACCACCACGCCCGGCTAATTTTTTGATTTATTGTAGAGATGAGGTCTCGCTATGTTGCCCAGGCTGGTCTCAAATCCGCAGGCTCGGGCAATTCTCTTGCCTCTGCCTCCCAAAGTGCTAGGATTATAGGTGTGAGCCACCGTGCCTGACTGTAAGGTTTTTTTATTTGTTTTTTAATTAAAAAAAAAAAAGATAGCATGAGAAAAGCATGTACAGGAAAGATAAACACTAAATAAGGATACCCACACTCTTGTGAGTATGCAGAAGTCTTCAGTTGAAAATTATTTTATTTCTTAAACTTTGTGGTGGGAATCTAAGTATTTGGTTTTGTTGTTGTTGTTGTTTTTCAGCAGGAGTCTCACTCTGTCGCCCAGACTGGAGTGCAGTGGCACACTCCCGGGCACCGCAGCCTCTACCTGCTGGGCTCCAGTGATCCTTCCGCCTCAGCCTTCCAAGTAGCTGGAACTACAGGCATGCACTACCATGCCCGGCTAATTTTTTATTTATTGTAGAGATGAGGGCTTACCAAGTTGCCTGAGCAGGTCTTGAACCCGCAGGCTCAGACAATCCACTCACCTCGGCTTCCCAAAGCACTGGGATTACAGGCTGAGCCACTGAACCTGGCCTGGTTTTCTAAAAATTTAATTTTATTGTATTTTAGATTCCAGGGGTACATATGCAGGTTTGTTACATAGGTATATTCTGTGATGGTGAGGTTTGGGCTTCTATTGAGCCTGTCACTCAGGTGGTAAGCATGGTACCCAATGGGAGGTTTTTCAGCTCTTATCCTCCCTCCCTTCTTTTCCCTATAGGAGTTTCCAATGTCTGCTGTTCCTATCCTTGTGTCCTGTGTATTCAGTGTTTAACTCCCACTTATAAGTGAGAACATGCGGTATCAGTTTCTGTGATAATTCACTTAGGATGATGGCCTCTAACTGCATCCACGTTGCTGCTAAGGACATGATTCCATTCTTTGCTATGGCTGCATAGTGTTCCATAGTGTATATGTACCACATTTTCCTTATCCAGTCCACTGTTGATGAGCACCTAGGTTGATTCCGTGTTTTTGCTATTGTGAATAGTTCTGCGATAAACATACAAATGCAGGTGTCAGCTGGGCATGGTGTCTCAAGCCTGTAAGCCCAGCACTTTGGAAGGCCGAGGCAAGAGAATTGCCTAAGCTCAGGGGTTTGAGACCAGCTTGGGCAATTTGGTGAGACCTTGTCTCTACCATAAATCAAAAAACTTATCCGGGCATGGTGGTGCACATCTGTAGTTCCAGATACTTGGAAGGCTGAGGCAGAAGGATCACCTGAACCCAGCAGGTAGAGACTGCAGTGGCTGTGAGCATGCCACAGCACTCCTGCCTGGGTGACAGAGTGAGACTCCAACAACAACAACAAAAAAGTTGCTCTATACGGTCTTTTTTTATCGACCTCTTAAATTCTGTTTCTTATCAATTACCCCAGGAACTGCTTGTACTTTCTTGTCTCTGATGTTCTGCCTGGAACACTTTGCCCTAGCAACTTCTCTGAGCATTTTCAAAACTAAATTCCTGTAAGAGGTGTTGCCATATTAACTGTGGGACAAACCTTTAACCAAATGGGTTACTTGACAAGGCTGATTGCCAACACCTGGACATTTTAAATTACCAACCTGAAAAGGGAAACTGTTTATGTATTTTGGTGACTAGGGTATAATGGTTTTGTTCTCATATATTCAGTCTATATGTGTATCTTCTATGTGATTGTGCCAGGGAGAAATGAAATTAATTTTATTATTTGGTTGGAGCACCAAGATGACCAGAACCCCCAGGGTTTTTTTGTTTTGTTTTGGTTTTTTTGAGTTGGAGTCTCTTTCTGTCGCCCAGACTGGAGTGTGGTGGCACACTTATGACCACCGCAGCCTTGATCTGCCTCAGCCTTCTAAGTAGCTGGAACTAGGGCGCGCAGCACCATGCCCAGTTAATTTTTTTTCTTTCTTACTGTAGAGATGAAGTTTCACCAAGTTGCCCATGCTGGTCTCTAACTCCTGGACTCGGGCAGTCCTCTCGCCTCATCCTCCCAAAGTGCTGGGATTACAGGCTTGAGCCACTGCGCCCAGCCTGAATTTAGGAATTGAAAAATAACTGCCTCCGGGGACGGGCGTGGTGGCTTATACTTGTAATCCCAGCACTTTGGGAGGTCAAAGCCGGAGGATTGCTTGAGCTCAGTAGTTTGAGACTGGCCTAGAAAACATAGCAAGTCCCCAGTCTCTACCAAAAAATCAAAAAATTAGCCGTGGTGGCGTGCGCCAGTAGTCCCAGCTACTCAGGAGGCTGAGGCGGAAGGATCGCCTGAGCCCAGGAGGTCGAGGCTGCAGTGAGCCATAATCGTACCACTGCACTCTAGGCTGGGTGACAGAGTGAGACCCGACTCAAAAAATAAAAATAACGACCTCAGTTTGATAAGAAGGCGTGTGATGCGCGGGAGTGAGGAGTAAGGGGCTGAGGATGACGGGAGCGACAACCCAAAGGGAACACGGGGCGGGGACGACACCGAGCAGGCGAGGATTCCTACGTCACTGCGGCGCGCCGCTTCCGGTCAACAGCGCTGTAGCGAATGACATCCCCAGCGGTGGGACCGGAGCTGGGTTCGCCAGCACCCCCCGAAGTCCACGATCGCACTGCAACATCCTACCAGTACGCCCACGCCAGTGTCTCCCCCGCGCTTGGGACCATGGCTACTGACTCGTGGGCCCTGGCGGTGGACGAGCAGGAAGCCGCTGCCGAGTCTGTGAGTTGGCTTCAGTCGTAAAAGGGACAGGGGACCCATTCTGGCTGGAGACTTGGTCCCTGGGAAAGGACACTTGCTAGGTTGGTCAGGGCCGGGATGTGAGGGGTGATGGGGATGGAGCCTGGACCCTGAGCCAGCTTTGTTTATCCATCCTTCAGCCACATTACATAAGCGCCGGTGAGTGCTTTTCTCGGTAAAGCTCCCAGCCGCCTGCCTGACTTCCTGGAACCGGGATTGAGCTTAGATTGCACTCACCCCCTGAGTTGTCATCACCATTTTCAGTGTCATTCTCCACCTTCACATTCTGAGCTTCTTGGGCTCAGCGACCTTGTCTCTACTCTTTTGTGTGTGCCTTCTCAGCTTGCTCAGTGATGATGAATAATGGACCCAGTTGGTCTGGCATGTAGTAAATCCCCTCCTGATCTGCTTAATTTGTTCTTTTTTCTGGGCCTGAGACAGTAAGCAAAGTATGTGTTAAACATTATTATCTAGAATTGATATTTCCCTGCTTCTGTTAGTACTTATGTGAATTCCTCGAGAACAAGGACATTGTCTTATTTTTTATAGCTGATTTAAAATGTCATATGCAGTTTAAAGAGTCAAATAGTTTTAAAAACAATAGTACCTGCCAATTATTTCCTCCCAGAGGCAACTACTTTTTCTCTTGAAACTGCTTGACAGTATGTACCTCCTTGTTCCCTGAATAACATGCTTGTTTTGCCACCTCTTGAATTCTCAGTTTTAGTTACTTACTGATTTTGATTGTTTTCCTCCATTTTCCCCCATCACACATGCACACCTTTTCATACCCTATCTTTTCATTGTACTGTAATATTGTGATTTTAGTTAGGTCACTGTTTTGTGTTTATATTACCTCATGAATACTTTTACTTTTCTGTAAAACTTATTTTACTTCCCTTGAGCGTTTTTTGGTTTTGTTTTGTTTTGATTTGGAATCTCACTCTGTGGCTCAGGCTAGAGTGTAGTGGCACGCACTGCTCATGGCTACCACAACCTTGACCTGCTGGGCTCAGGTGATCTTTCTGCCTCAGCCTTCCAAGTAACTGGAGTTACAGGCACGCGTCACCACACCCAGCTAATTTTTTTTCCTTGATTTATTGTAGAGATGAGATCTCGCCATGTTGCCCAGGCTGGTCTCAAACTTGTGGGCTCAGGCAATCTTCTTGTCTCTGCCTCCCAAAGTGCTGGGATTATAGGCATGAGCCACCACGCCCTACTCTTGTGGGTTTTTTAATTTAATTTTTAAGTGCCTTGTGTTTTTTGTTTCATGTTTTTTGTATTACCAATTCAACAGCAAGTTCTTGCCAGTTGTTGATCTCAGGATGTTCTGGCACATCAAGTATCCTATCAATTCCATCTCTTCCAGGTCTATAAGTCTTCTTCAAGTTGGACTAGTTATGCCCATGTTTAGAATGCAGTTCATTTTGGGGGGTGTAGTGGAATAGGTCACATTTGCCTTCAACCTCTTTCAGGGATTTCCTTCCTTCTTGTGTTGGATTCCTTCCTTTCTGTATCCCCAATCTTGGTTATTCTTGATTTATTCCTTATTTTGATGCAGCCATATGTCAGCTTTCTGGAGATGTATGGGAATTAAGTTATTTTAAATATACTGCATATCTTTTAAAAAATCTCATTCCACCAATAATTTAGATAATATTTTGACTGGGTGTCGAATTGTATCTTGAAATTATTTTCCTAGGCCAGGAGCAGTGGCTCACACTTGTAATCACAGCACTTTGGGAGGCTGAGGCGAGAGGATTGGGGTTCGAGAACAGCTTGGGCAACTTGGCGAGACCTTGTCTCTACAATAAATCAAAAAAGTAGCTGGGCATGGTACTATCATGTTTCTAGTTGCAATAACTTTTACTTTCTTCTTTTACTGTTTTTTTTTTTTTTTTAACAAACAACTCCCTGTTCTGCTTTCATGGCAATAATATTCTATTATCACTTTGAGGATTTTTTTTCTTCTCTTTGCTCAGTCTCTGTTTGCTGGGAGGTGTGTGTTAGCCAATTATTTCAATATCCATTTTTTTCTGATGAAGACTTCTCAGATGTTTGAAATACTTGTCCAGTCATATTTAAGAGTGAGTGCCTAAAAAGATGAATGGGAGCTCTTAACACATGAATGGAGCTTGTCAGTTCTGACATCATCTATATCTGATTAGCGTCCTGAGAACTTTCCTCCTGGACTGACCCTATTTTGCAGAAAGGAACCCTCTAATTTCCTGCCTGGATGGAGGAGGTTTGACTCAATGTTCTAGAATCTAAGTGGGAGGAGAGGGTTGGAGGCAGCATGGAGGGCTCAGCACTCAGAATACAGACTTCCACTTAATGCTCCTGTTTTCATTATGACATTCTCCCTTTCAGCTGTGGCCCTTTGCTTATCCTTGTTAGCATTTCTCATGCCTCACCTAGTAGGCACTGTTAATTGAGTAAATGAACTCTATAGTCTGTTATTCTATAACATGACTCTGTTGCAAAGAAGCTGTTGAGCATGTACTCTCAATATGTAGATATATGTTTAGAAATAGCATACTTAACCCACGGGTTCGAGACCCACTTGGGCAACTTGGTGAGACCTCATCTCTACAATAAATTTTAAAAAATTAGCCGGGTGTGATGGCGCACACCTGTAGTTCCAGCTACTTGGAAGGCTGAGGCAGAAGGATCGCCAGAACCCAGCAGGTCGAGGCTG